CTGACTATATAATGAATAAAACTAAAGAAATACAGACAACCCCGTATAAAGATGGTTAATTGCTGGACACTGACTACACACAGACTGACCGAAGCCCAGGAAATGAAAGAAGATAGCGAAGATAACTTTCTGTAGTACTAAAATAGGGTGCAGTAGCGGATATCCCACCAGCAAGAGCGGTAGAGTCGAGCACACCAGGGGGGATAAGCAGCCAGGCAGAACGTACATCATATTCATGCCTAGAGGACGAAGAAAGGTGAACAGGGAGAAGAAGAAAAGGGTAAAAACGCGATAAAAAAGAAAGCTAGAGAGGAGAAAGCACTTATGACGGAAGAGGATGAGATGAGGAAGAGGAGGAAAGAGAGGAAAGAGAGGACGGATAGAATGCAGCCGTAACACACGGAGTCAACGCATTACATGTCAAATGTTGTTTATTCAACCGGGTGCACCGGTGGGTGGGCATTAAGGTTTCTACATATTTTGTACAAACATAAACACAAAAAGACAGACAGACAGCACTCTTATCGCCCCTCTAGGGGGCAGCAGTGAACGCAGCACTACTTTGAGAGAGTGAAGTATTCTAGGTTAAGAAAACTGAACTAAAGTTAAAATAGTCTGAATAACATTTTTAATGAACTGAAATGAAAATAAAAACAGGACAGGTCTGTAGAACATCAGGAGATGGTGAGTCGTGTTTTGTATGTCAATAAAATAAAAATAAACCTTTTATACAATAAAAACTAAAGGGAAACAAACACGGTTCAGTGACACCAACGTCTCCTGCCGCCGTCCCTGTTTACAGGTAGATTAAAACCAATATACTGATCAGCGATTGTTCAATGATCCACTACGAAAGTTAACCTGCTGGTGTGTGTGTGTGTTGTGTGTGTGTGTGTGTGTGTGTGTGTGTTACATGTTTAAAGGGATATCCCACCAGACAATACAGGACAGTGAAAGGCCAGAACAATGTCACACAAAAATCTAGTTGCTGAGTCTTTCGCCTCGATCCTAGAGAGAGAGACAGTTAAAGACACACACACACACACACACACACACACTACTGCCTACACACCACACACACACGACACACAGACGTGAACATGACGTTAACAGTGTTGACTCGTAGATCCCTCGAAGATGGAGAAGCTCAGTAGAGCAGACCGAACGTCAAACGACCTCTCTGAGCACCACCGAGTCTGGACTTGTGGACAGACAGACAGATAAAGACAGACAGACAGATAGACAGATTAGACAGACAAGGATCCCGTCACATCACAACCACAAGTTGTTAAAAAAAAAAGTTACGTTGTCTGATAACTTGTGATATATCTCATCACTTATTTTACATCATTTATGGTATGTGCATCCCCTAGTGGTACTTTGGAGTACTGCAGGCTACTTTTCTATTTTTATTAATCGATCATGCATAATTCCCCCTTACAATATATCATTACTATAATTCAATTAAAAATGGTAAATGCTCAAGTTCGATAAACCGCATTTTCTATATCTCAAATATTTCCTATTTTCAATGCGATTGTAAACTGCACATAAAATGGTCTGCTAAAATCTTCATCTCGCGGTTTCTGCCACAGACGATGAAAAACGCATCCTCAGCTGAAGCGCACAAACCTCGTGTTCCTACTTAGTTTTAGTTTAAGATAACTTATCACAAAGACTCAGTTCAATGCCAACGTTCAATTGAAGATATTTAAGTGCTTTTCTTGATAATTACAGGCCGGATTTTCAATGCAACTTCAACGCCGTCTTAGCTTGTTTTCCATGAATTTAAGTGTTTTTCTTAATAAATCAGACAACTGAATGTTGGTTGGGTTTTCATGCAACTTCAATGCAACTTTTCAGGCTGCCCAATACTTTAAAGATGCGAACATTTCATCATAAAAAAGTTTTGAGAAACACTGGCCTGTTACAGTTGATTATTGTAACGTCAGTCCTTGACCTTATAATTAAACATTAAATTAAAGACTTTACTTGACGATGCCGATCCCAGACTGGCAATGCATTCACCAAACACTCGGGGCCAGAGTCCCTCTTCACCGCGGGAGAGCCACCTCAGCAAACACCACCGTTTCCCCATGAACTGGCAGGCACGACATCACTTATACATCATTATCTGTTTATTCGTCTAGTCCGGAGAAACAACATTCGCCTCCGGTGTCTCCACCTTACCGGACAGCCCCGTCGTATCGGATGCTCTGAACCGGGCGTAAGTACACGGCTTTCTCCACATGCCGAGGAAGATGACGCGCCGATCCAAGAACTGGATCTGAGCAGGTCCTCCAGTAACACGCCGACAGAAACCAACCACAGCACGGCGGAGCAGCACGTACACGATGCACATCACCATGTAGAACTGGACATAGAACAGATTTTCTTAAGCACTCAGATTATGTCAAAATAATCAAATAATTTGAGACATAAAAAACATTTTTACCGTCATAAAAAACAAAACTACATAACAGAAATTTATCATATTAATTTTTTAAAACCTTCATGGCGTTATACCTTATTATCAACGTTTAGGCTTCCCTGGTACTGGGACTAACATTCACTAAAAACTACAACGAGCAGCTGTTTTACTGAGTTACTGAGCTTTTTTTTAATAATAAAACCTATGATTATTAGTTCGTTGTTTAATATCTGAAGTCTTGTGTTTGGGCCACAAGGAAGTCAGAAAAGTATTGAGAAGAGGACAAACACGCATGTTGATTTAGTCGGTTTTTATGAGATTGCTGACAGATTTTATCCTTAAAAAAGCTGAACGGTTGGGATTGTCAAGACTTTATCATCACATCTGAATCTCATTAACATTAAATTCTAGTTCAAGTTTTTCTTTATGACCCACAACAAATGAATATGTTATTTTTTATTTTGTTTATTGCTATGTTCGATCAGGACTTAATAAAGCTGGCCGATTCCCAGATAAGGCTACGAGATGGAGCGCAATGAACACGCCGTGATACGACATTACAATCGTATTCAAAGGCATTATCCGCGTTTAAGATGAAGGCATTTTCAAACTTTCAAACCTTTGCAGCAAATCAATAAAATCTGTCTATATCGTCTTTGTGTGGTGTGTGTGTTGTGGTGTGTGTGTGTGTGGTTGTCTTACCACCATCAGGAGGCCACTTCAGAGGCGGCGAGATGTCAGTCATGGAGGGACCTTTCATGCTGATCTCGCCACTGCAGACACAGACGAGACCTTTCGATACGGCTGGTCTAACATTCAGACTGCCAACAACAGCAGTGGACACAGTGACTGAGAGGAACATCATCGTACAGTGAACCATCTTTAGGAATCCAGCACCTGAGTCTCAGGACCACGGTCTTTGGCATGGCATCACAGCAAGCCTGCTCTCCGGCTACTCGTATGTCAGCTTAGATTAACTTTCAGTCTCACTAATGTTACTGCTCGAATAAAGACCTTTGCACACCAGACGCAGGACAGAGAGTGACGACAGCCTTGCAGAGGAACTCGCAGTGGAGGAGAAAACGAGGAAGGCAAGTTAGAGGAGAGAGACAGCTGCTTTATCAGCAGTGAAACCTCTCCTCGCTTCTTCACACATTTGGATCAATATTTCCTTTTTCTTTTTCGTTACTTTCTGCCAAAAAATCATCTCTCACTGTGTTGACGACTCGTTTTGGTGCTTCAAAGGCCCTACGGGGGGAGAGCACTGTCCAGCTGCTACTTTGTGGTAAAAGTTGCTAAAACTTTTAAATGTCAGAAAACAGCTCAATGGTAAAATTTTTACAATCATGGCTTTGTTGAATACTTATAAAAATAGATTCTGACTGGTCAGTTAAGGCATCGCTCTGGACCCAGTTTTTCCGAAGAAAAAATATAGAAAAATGTATCGCATTTTTTTAGTGATTATTTTCTGATAACTGCTAAATCCTTTTCTAGTGTTGTAAACGTACCTGAGCGGCTGTGATGTTGGGATGTTTACTGTGATAAATCAGCAGATTCTTGCAATACAGTCCACCACTATAATTAAATCATTTATAATCAATATTTTGTGTCATTTACTGATTTCTTTAAGTAGCCGTGTAATAAGCGGGATAATGGGGCAGCGGAGCTGGGGTCGTTGTTGTGAAGTAAAACCCCTGTCACCTTCATAGACCCTGTATCTTACTCTGGCCTATAATGACCCTCTCGCTGCACCTTATCCCTTCATTATGTGAACAGAGGAAGTCAACTAAATAGTTAATGGTTAACAGTCTGTGTGAGAGTGTGACTGACGGCCCTGTTAGACTCCAGGGGCGAGGGTCGTCGCTGCTTGCGCCGCGTCAGGACTCGTTCTTGTCTTTGATTTCTTCGGATGTGCCAGATGAACATGTAGAGGTCCGCTTCCTCCCAGCTCTCGGCCACCGCCGTCAAAGTTGCTTTGATGAAAGCAACCTGAGCGGAAACGGAGGATAGAGAAGCCGCTTTATTGGTTTTTAAAAACGTCTGATCAAGTTTTCTTGCCCTGACTCCGTTGATAACGAGCTTGATCAATTTGCTTGTATTTTTATGTATTGAATAGCTGTGTTACATTGCAGATAAACAAATTAATCCATCCAAAGTTTATTTTATTCCTTTTTTACTGGGAAATTCCTAAACAGTCACACAAGGTACAAAGAAGGCCCCTTTTTGTCCTTACATCCGCTGTGCTAAGAGATTCATTTGGGGAGGTGACTTCCCCAATACTGAGATTATGCATTTGAATATGTCAGTTCGTTCTCTTTAACTATTTTGGTTAGATGCCTGAAATAAAGCCTGTGGCTTTTAAGAGATTTCACTTTCTATATCTACAATATAAAATACATTCAGTAAATAAATGCACCCGTTAAATTCTGAAGCTGTCACCTGTCTTAAAAAAGGCGGTTGCGTAAACTAGTGGACTAAATTCGCGTTGACTAAAGGGCTCTGACACACAAAAACCGACGTCCCAAGGAGCAACAAAAGGCCGATGATTGCTGTTGTCTTGCCAAAAGTGACACTACAACGGCCAACTAGCACGTTACGTTGGAGGTAACAACTCTCAATTACTAGCAGGTGGCGGTAGATTGCATTCGTCATTCAGAAAAAAGAAACCAGAAGACCTAAAATTCACGGCGGCTCAGGTCGCGACGTTCACCGGGTGAGTCAGGGCCCTTCAACATCAGCACACTGGAGACTTATCTGCTCACTAATCGGGCCTTTAAGAGTAAATAATGGTTAAGTGGAAGTCTAATAGGTTTGGTTTATAGCCTCGCAGTTTTGTTTGCCTCTCACTTTCGAAAACATTAAAAGTGGGATTTCAATTTCGTGAAGCATTATTCATTCCCACTGGCTTTTAATGTCGGAGGGAACCAAGTCTTGATGCGAAACTTCATCATCCCTTACAGCGCCTCTATAACGCCAAGGTTTAACTAATCCATCGGGAAGACTGATCCTTTTTTACGAGGATCCAGCAGCTCCTCCTGTTTCTGCTTGAAGCAACCTTCCTTCTTTACTCAGCGGGCCTGGGACGAGAGAGAGAGGAGGAGAGGAGAGAGAGAGACCGAGAGACCGGGGAGAGAGGACGGAAGATGGAGAGAGAGGAGAGACAGAAAATCAATAAACATCTCAAATTAAAGAACAAAACAAAAAAAATGGGGTTCTTGCTTCATTACACACACAGGACTATAAGAGAACTGACCTCTGCATATTCTAGTGCATGTTCTACAATGAAAGCCTTCCCGTGCGTGTTTTACTGTGATTTGGTAAAAGTGGTTTAATGTATATTTAAACAGGCCCCACTAGGGGGCACCAAAGCTTCACAGGGGGTCAGAAAACTTACACAGCAGGTCTATATCTCAACAATTGGTTCATTAATGTGAAGAAAACTATTTTTTTATTGTTTAGATTATTATTTAAGATTAAACTTTGAAGATGTGAACATTAACTCTGATAAACAGCCTCGTCCTGTATTAGAAAACAACCAAAGAGGAGGAAACACTGAATGTGTCAGAAAAGAAGCTTATTAAGTCTGTATGATTGTTTTAATTGTTAAAATGATAAGCATATATATAACAATAACCTGTTTATCAGAGAGTGAATATATCGTGTTATACGGTATATTTTATATATTTTATTGTATACCTTTGGTTCTGGAGGCTTCATCTCTCTCCTCTCCCTGCTTGAAGCCTTCGCTGTGGTTGGCTGAAAGACAAACAGTCGACTGAAGAGAGAAGAAACTACAATCTACAAATTAAGCGCAGCCTCGATCAACCAAACTCCATTCAGAAAACGGACAGTTTAAAAGTTGTCTGCTCGTCGTTTTGTGCACAGACCGGACAAAGTGTGAATTAAAGCTTTTTACAAATCAGCATCACAATGTCGTTATTTCAGCATCATTTTGATGCATTTATTGACATTAATCTGTTAATTATGGGCTCAAACCACCGTTGTAAACTAGATTAGAAGGCCAGATTGCACAGCCTTACTGCAGGCCATGCAAAAGATGTGACCACTACATTATTTATTAACAGCAAACAGCTCCTCTATTCATTTTCTATTGTGATTTGAGCCAAATAAATAAGTCAAATGTGAGTATTTTATCCTCCTTGACTTGGAAATGGAGACGGTGAAGCTCTTACATTATTAAAAACCAAGAACCCACCTGCTGCTGCGGCAGCTCTGTCAGACGTGTTCTCATCTCAAAGACATCCAGGTCGAACTGTGTCATAAAACAAACACTTTAAAATCCACTTCAGACACATTCAGTCACTTTATTATCACTGGTTTGCAGCGTGTGTGTGTGTGTGTGTGCGTGTGTGTGTGTGTGTGTGTGTGTGTCGGACCGTGTTGGGGCTGATGGGCGGCTGGCAGGTGATGGCAGGATACTGGTGGAAAACGTAATATCCACTTCCTCCACCTGGTATGACCTTCGTCGACCTGAAGTAACTTCCCGCCCTCGATGCCTGGAGACAAACAAACAAACAATGCGAGGGAGTTATTTATTCACCCAAAGGAGTCATCAGATCAATAGAAGATCAATAATGAGCAAATAACAGAGACGATCTCAGTCTGTCGGCCACAAACACACAAACACTGTTTTAGTTTGTTTCTGTCCAGTTTTATGATTATCTACTCGGTAAAATTACTGTTTTTTTTAAAGGGAGTCTGGTCTTCTGCAGCCGCCATTACAGAGCTGTAAATAAATGTGGACCCTGAACGCCTCAAGAGGAGAAAACAGTGAGTCTCACGTTGCGGTCGAAGACTTCATCGTAGCAGTGAGAGTTCCTCAGATACCAGGACACGTTGAGCTGGACGGGAGTTGAAGTGTTACACGTCTCTGACATCACTGACCAAAAGGGAAGAAAACAACAACACAAACAACAACACATGAATCAAATCAGACGCTTTCCGACCGAGCGGAAGAGTTGATTTAAGTCTGCTTACGTTTGAGGTTGATGAAGCTGCCGTTGAACAGAGTTTTGGCGAAGTAGAAGAAGGTCTGCTTCTTCAGAATCTCCTGCAACAAACAAACAAACAAACAAACAAACAAACAAAGAGATGAGACTAAAACTAACAGCTTTCACTGCGTCTGACGACCTCACACAGAGGTTATAAAAGCACGAATTTATGTTTGTTTCACATTTTCAATGAGAAAATATTCACGAATGAATGAAAGTTGCATTATTGTGTAAGTGAGGTGGAGGACAGTATCGTACATAGTGTCCTAAAAACACTTTGATGTGATTTATTGAGGACATCTATTCACATTAAAAGATCAAAACACACTTAAATCTATATTTTATACTAAATGTTTATTTAATAGATTAAACTGTTGAATTTAAGTTAAATGTTAATTCATTTCTAAAATGATGTAATGACATGACCAGTGTAATTTTACATGGATTTGTTTGTTAATTGAAAGGTTTGTGGATGCATTCATGATTTCTTATTTCTTATTATTAGTTGGTTTGTTTGACATTAATCAGATTTATAACAATTCTACTTCCTGGATCCTCGTCAGATGTTGCATCAGGAACATTTACAGCCGATATTAACGCAGTGCAGTTAGTTCAAGACAAACGAGACACTGACTGACTGTGTGCACACGAACACAACGAGCACGTTGTGAAAGAGGTTCCTGTTCAACCTCAAATGAAACGCTTTCTGAGAAGAAAGGAAGAGAGAAAGGAAGGAGGAGGAGGAGAAGGAGAGCGTTACACGTTGAGTCAGATGGCGTTCAGATGAAGAACTCTCCGACTGACTGATGGATTCATTCGCTGCCACAGACTGTGAAGTTTCTGACCTGTATCGGACAGTTTCTGGTGCCTGAATTCAAGTCAATTACAACAAAGTATTTCCTTAATTGGCCTCTGAGAATCATCACATCTGGATAAATGGTGGTCACGTTTTGGAGGGAAAAACTTTTGGGGACGAACGTTAATGAAAATGTGCCCCAGCAACGTCTGAATAATGAATAAAAGAGAGAGCTGCTCTCATTTGAAATAAAGGTTGGATGACTTTAAATTCTCTTACTTAATAAATGTTTGAAGATATAAACATGCTTCTTCCTGGTTTTGCTGTTTGAAGCTCGAAAAGTAACGACTCAGAATAAAAACAGTCAAAGAGCTCCAGAACATAAAGGACGAGTTCAAAGACACATACTATGACTGTACACTGGGACCGAGCACCACACATTACTTTAATGGATGTTTATTAGAATTCAGACCAGAGAAAATGATGGAAAACGTTTCCTGATTGTAGATATAGGAGCTGCAACAAATGTTTATTTCCATTATTGATTAATAGGGCAATTATCTTCTCTATTCATTGATTCGATCTTTAGTTAAAATAAGTCAAAAACATTTAGGACTCTTCCATCAACAGGGAAGCTCTGGTCCCATTAGTGCAGCTAGTTTTGGAGCATTTGTTCAGTTTCAAATGTTTAAACAGAGCTGAGTATTTGTACAATATGTTGCAGTTATTGATCGTACAGTGGCACAGTGATGATATGATGCTTATTATTATCAATAATCTGATTAATATCAGTAAGATAGGAAGCTTCATCAGTGAGACTTTAGTCAAATAATTCAAAACCAGTGTCAGCAGCAGAGGGAACCAATACACAATCAATACACAATCAATACACAATCAATACACAATCAATACGAGCTGATCGAACTCAGTCAGCTGTCATTGTTTACATATTTCTGACGCTGCGCAGCCGCAGTGTGTCGGTTCCGTTCCACACTAAAACCCATTTTAATTAAACAATAAAAACAACAATAAAAACAACAATAACAACAACAATAAGAACAATAAAGTTCTTCTCTTCTAACCTGTTCAACTCAAACTGTCCGCTGACGTTTTAAGACACAACAAACCGGAAACTCACGCTGTCCACGCTCTGGATCCATTTCCCCGGTTCGGACACGGCACCGACCGGCCCGCTCGGTCCCGACAGCACCAGCAGGAGCAGCACCGGGGCCCAGAGACCCGGTCCAGTCCGACCCGGACCCGAGGAGCTCGCCATTTGAGCCAGGAGGAAGAGGAGGAAGAGGAGGAAGAGGAAAGTGAGGACGAACACTTCCGAGTCCAGGGTGACGTCGAGGAATGGTGCCTTCAGGGGCCGTGGGAGGTTTAACGATGCGCTGTAAAATGTTGTTTTTTCCATTGAAGAACACAACAATTCCTCTTTTCTTTCACAGATAACGATTATAATTTATCTTCACGCAGTGTTGATTGTTTTGGTTTGTTCTGTGATGTGTTTTAAAGGTATTAACCGGAAGTGTAGTTCCTGATTGTGACCGCTGGAGGGCAGCAAACAACCTCTCAGCAGAGTTTATAACTAAGTATTATATAAAGTATTATATATTATCTACTTTCTGTGTTTATTAATGTCTTTTATATTTTATTTTTAAATCACTGAATTGTTGTTGCTCTAGAAATAAATCAGTTTGAATATATTATCTGAAACTTTAAACTTATTTCCACTCTTGACTAATGTATAAAGTGTTTTATTCTGTTTATACGTTCTGTTTTATTATATTTTTTAATTTATTCTAGTATATTCTTCATATTAGTTCCCCTTGACCACCCAAACATTTTTGGTGGAATAAAATATTTATATTAATAGTTAAAATGCAGCGCTGCCCCATAAATGTGATTTATTGAAGACGTTTATTCACATAAAAAGATTAAAATACACTTTGCAAATCTATATTTTATATTTACTGTTTATTTATTAGATTAAACTGTTGAATTTAAGTTTAATACTGGTAATTAATTTATAAAATGATATAAAATCAG